ACAATGTTGAATATTTCTTGTACTTTATTTTATTAAGTCTAGGTATCACAGAATCAGATTATTTATGCTAATTGAACCCACTAAAGGACAGGTTACTTTTTGAAGCAGTGCAGAGCTCAAGAAGAAAATTAAAATTAAGAAATGTTATAAAGGCCATAACTATCAGAACTTAACTTTGGGAATGAATTACATAGATTAAAATATTCCCCAAACCCCTTGAATGTTTTTATTTCCTTAGAATTAGTGGCATTTGCATAAGTACAATTTTAGTTAATAGATTAAGGCATTAGTATATCTCATTCTACTACCCTTAGCAAATAATTATTAGATGTTGTTATATAATTATTAAAATGGTTTAGCTCTGTTATAAATAAAAACTCAAAAAATCTGGCAACCAGCGACAGCTTACTATTATGATACAACATATGGTGGCAAGAAATTTGGGACAATAAAATTTGGATCCAAATAGAGTATATAAAGTCTAGTACTTAGGGAGGATTATATTTAATTTTTTTTAGAAATTATCATGATTTAAGGACCTAGATTCATTTAGGGACATGAGAGCTTGTTTATTGTTTGTGGGGAGATGTTGGTACTTGATTTGATTCAAGGTAATGATTAATATGCTCTTTTTTTAATGTTGCCTTCTTGAAACTCTTTTCCCCTAAACAATATCTTAATATGTTATATGAAATTGAACCGTTATTTAAACCAAGTGGATTGTCCACCTCAGAGTTACAAAGCACTGATTGATTTTTTTTTTTTTAATATTATGTATTAGTCTGGTTCCATTAGTGACCATTTTATTTCCTTTCTTTTTCCTAAGAATCTCTGAATTTGTTGCCCAGATAAAAATCTGAATGACACTTGTCTTAGGCCCATACATACAGGGATAAAGTTTATGGTTAGGTAGAATATGTTTTACTCTATCACTCTGTCAAACAATTGATAAAAATTTGTCTAAAGTTAAAAAAAGAGTTTACTTCATAGAGGATGGGTTGAAGAGGGCCAAGACTGGAGCTGGGGAGATGATAAGGAGACATTTGTACTAATTTAGGCAAGTGCTGATAATGGCGTAATTAAAGTAATGTGAGAGGTTTAAGAGATGTAGACTTGTGTGAGAGATGTAGACATAATTGGTTGTAGTGATTGATTAGTTGTGAGAGGAGAGGGAGGAATGGAGTCCACCAGCTTTCTGGGGTGGGCCACTGGATGGGTAGATAGTGCCACTTACTGAGAAGGAACACAAGAGGAGTTTGGAAAGGTTTGAGATTAGTATTTCAGTTTTGCACATGTTGAGTTTGAAGTCCCTGTGAGGAACCGAAAAAGGATATCTGTGGTTCAGAAATTCACAAGAGATACTTAGATGGATGATGATGATTTGTGGGTCATCGTCATAGATTTTGTTGAAGCTGTGGAAGAAGAGATTATCCAGAGTGATCGTAAGGCCGATCTCTAAGAAATGTCTATTAAAGGAATGAAAGAGGAAGAGGTGCTTCGAACAACAGCCATAGAAAGGAGAAACATACAGAAATTGTGGTGTTTGAGAAATCAAGAATGCTTCAAAGTTAAGTTCATGACTCCTTGTTAAAACTTTACAATTCAAAACAATGAGAATGTTAACTCCCAGATAATGATAGTAAACTTCTAAGATTTGTATAGCA